AAGAATCGCCACCCGTGGATCCAAGCTATACACAATGCGGCTAATAGCAACCTTCGATTTGCCTGGATACCCGGACACGTCGAAATAGCTGGAAACGAAACCGCTGACCATCTGGCGTCTGTCGGTCGGGAGTCAAATTTGTATACCAATGAAACGCCAGCTGATGACGTCAAAACATGGGTTAAAGCGATCATCCAAGATGCTTGGGCCCAAAGCTGGCAACAAGAAAGATGGCTATTTTTGCGAAAGGTGAAAGGTGACATCAAGAAATGGACTGATCAGCCCCGCTGGAAAGACCAACGAACCCTATCGCGTCTAAGAACGGGTCACACTCGAGTCACACACGATTATTCCATAGTACCAGACAGGCACAAACGGTGCGATATATGCCAGACAGAACAATCAGTAGAACACATACTTGTGAACTGTCCCAAGTATGAGGATCATCGACGTCTGTATGGTATCCACGCTGGAGTGCGAGACGTTCTAAGTAACGATCCTTCATACGAATCTGCCTTACTGTGCTTCCTGAAAGAAACCGAACTATACACACAAATTTGAAAAACTGATCTTCTGTTAACGCCATGAGATTTGCCATTTCACAACTGATCATCCTGCAAACACCTAACGGATTATTCTCCTAACATCAATATTGTTATCATCTCAGCAACCCACATTTGCCAACGTTTAACGGATTACGATTTTGTTTTACATCTTTATAATATGTATAATATGGCATGAACCACTGTAACTATTTATTATTCAATTGCCAAGGGGGACCTCACTGGATCCTTCAAACGCCCTCTCCATGTTACCATTAAACGGGAGATGAACCAGCCTGCGGCTGAAAATCTCGATAATAAAGAAATAAAAAAAAAAAAAAAAAGCAAGCAGTCCTGATATAAACCCGTCGGGGCCCAAGTAGAACAAAAAAAAAAAGAATATTGCAAATCCGTCAATTGGCGTTGACGGCGACTCTGTAGCTCTTTACTCCAATGTTAAAATCCATAACCAAACGTCGGACTGTGCGTGAAACATGGCGGACTTCGTATACCCTTTCACTCTACGGAAAATTCTCATAAGAAACTCTCTTTGCTAAAAGAGATGACTTTTCGGCGGTGCCGTCAACACCAATGTGTTCTCGAGTTATACACGCTATTTTGAGTCGAAAATCACTCAGTCCCGCCAAAAGGGAAGTTACCCGAAAATGAGTAAACATGCTTTTACTCAAAATTGAGTAAACGTGCTTATGGGGGAAACAGGATATTGGTTACTCAGATGATGACATTTGTTCCTCATCAACTAGGGGGCTGTTCATTAACTACGTAGACAGTTTTTTGGAAGTATTGATCCCCCCCTTGTAATTTATGAACAGTCCCTAGCTGGTGATAGCTTTCACCATCCAGGCTATTAAGTAGCTATTTATTTTCACTGTTTTAGAACTTAAAACAAATTTTAGACTCAATGCGCAAAAATCGCCTGCTCACAACTTCAAAATGCGCCATTATTAAATTGATATCAGAACCATTTACCCAGAATCTGGGTAAATTCCAATCATCGGAGCAAAACAACTCCATACTTACTTACTTACTTAAGGGTCCTGTGCACCACCAGCGGCGCAAAGGGCCAACGTGAAAGACTTCCATTCTGGGCGGCTGCTCGCTTTTGCCTTGACCTGGGCCCAGGTCAGATTCCTATCGACTTGCTTAATTTCCTTATTGAGGCTCCGCCGCCATGAGCCTCTTAGTCTGCCTCTGCTGCGATGTCCTGGAGGATACCAATCCAGCGCTTGCTTGGAGATTTCGTTTCCACCCTGTCGAAGTGTGTGGCCGACCCACCTCCACTTTCGCTCTCGAATTTCTGTTGCTATCGGCTTCTGATGACATCGACGATGGAGCTCGGCATTCGAGATCCAGTTGTGAGGCCACCAAGCACGAATTATATACCGCAGGCATCGGTTGATGAAGACCTGCAGCTTTTCAGTGTTCTCCGCTGATACACACCACGTCTCGCTGGCATATAACGACACAGATTTCACGTTCGAGTTGAAAATTTGGATTTTGGTGCGTTGACTTATCTGGTTGGATCTCCATACGTTTCGTAAACTCGCAAAGGCAGCCCTAGCCTTCTTGATTCGTGCACCTTTGTCGCTCTTGGTCCCGCCGTCCGACGCTATTTGGCTGTCAAGATATGGGAAACTTTCGACCTTTTCCACTGTTTGCCCCGCTACCGTAAAGTTGGAAGGGTTTCCCGTGTTGATATGGGTTGATGCATATATTATGACACGCTCTAAGGGGGGAGGGGGGTATAAAATTTTGTGACAAGCAATGCATTAGGTATAGGAAAAACGTCACGGTAGGGGGGAGGGGGTAAATTTTTGCTTGATTTAGCGTGACATAATTAATGCATGGGCCCTATTCAACGATTTGGTCTTGTTGACGTTGATGGTGAGACCCTTACTCTGCATATCAGAGCGGCGTTGTGCTAGTAGAGCAACATTATCAGCCAAATCGAAGTCGTTCAGATGCTCCATGGTGATAGGCTGCCAAAGCAGCCCACGGTTCGGTACACGGTCAATTGCACGTCGATTACGATGAGAAACAGTAGCGGTGATAGTATACATCTTTGTATCACACCAGCGACTACCCGGATAGGGTCGGACAAGGCTCCGTTATGCAGAACTCTGCACGTGAAAGCCTCATACTGCGCTTCGAAGAGGTTGACGATTTTATCCGGGACTCCCTTGCGTCTCAGGGCGCCCACAGATTCTCGTAAAGCTTGTACGTAGTCAATGAATACCAAATAAAGGGACTCTTGGAATTCATTGACTTGCTCCAAGATGATGTTGAGCGTGACAATATGGTCCACACAAGATCTTCCGGCACGGAATCCTGCCTGCTGCCGTCGGAGAGTCACGTCGATCTTCTCCTGTATCCGATTCAGGATAACTTTGCACAGAACTTTGACAACAATACACAGTAACATGATGCCTCGCCAATTGTTGCACACAGTCAGATCCCCCTTCTTTGGGACCTTCACTAAGATGCCCTGCATCCAGTCGGCCGGAAAAGTCGCGGTGTCCCAGATCTTACAGAATAGTTGATGCAACATTTATGCGGATAGCATGGGGTCAGCTTTGAGCATCTCTGCTGATATGCGATCGACCCCTGGAGCCTTGTTGGATTTCATACTTCGGATAGCTGCTTCAATCTGATGCAGCCGCACCCTAGGCGGATCATGCCGAGATGTTGATGGCTGGTTGGCCGTCGAAACTTGAAGAAGTTGTTCGAAGTGCTCAAAACAGCGTTTCAGCTGGTCAGTGGGGTCAGTAAGCAATTGTCCAGTCGTGTCCTTCACTGGCATCCTCGGATTCATCTTTGCTCCACTCAGGCGTCGTGAGATATCGTAGAGGAGGCGGATATCGCCAGTGTTTGCGGCTTTCTCCCCTTCGTCGGCCAGAAAGTTCACCTGTGGTGTGTGCTTGTCCCGTCTGCAAGAGCGCTTGACTTCCTTCTCTTGAGCCGAGTACCGTTGACGGGCTTCGTTCTTGGCTCCTCTGGTTCTCGCCCGCTCTATCACGGCTTTTGCTTCTCTACGCTCCTCAATCTTCCGCCAGGTTTCATCTGTGATCCACTCTTTCCTCTGGGTGCGCAGCTCACCCAAGTTGTTCTCGCTTGTTTTTATAAAGGCATTATTGATGGCCGTCCATTGTTCTTCTACGCTACTACCTTCTGGAACGTCCGCAGCTCGAGTCTCATGTTCTTCAACAAAAGACTTTTTTACCGCTGGATCTTCAATTCGGCGTGTGTTGAACCGCCGCCTGAGTCTCTCCTCCCGTCACTGGATCCGCGCCATGCGTAGGCCGATCTTGTTGAGCTGAGTAAATTGGTATAAAGACCCTTGACTCTCCGGACCATAGAACAAAATTGTGTTTTCATTTGATATAAGGCTGTCTACGAGACAGTTGCGATCAGCTGACTTTTTTGTTTACCAAGAACTTTTGAAAAATCCGAGGGGGGCGACACATCTAAATCTCAATTCTAGATGCTCAAAAAATCTCACAGTAGCGTATCAATCTTCGAAAAATCATCTCTCATTTCTTGCATCTATTTGCATCGTGCTTGATCTTTTTGCAGGGAATCTTCAAAATGGACATAAATCTACCTTCTATCTACTCAGCGTGCCTACGCTAGCCACAGCAAAACACAATCTTTTCTGCATCGTAGATAGAGTCGCCCCCCTCGGAAAAATCACAGTAGAACTGGCAGTTTATTCTCATATGTATTTCTGCTTTGTTTATGTTTACAGTCGGCACCATTAACACCAGATCACTCACACATTCTAGATTTCTACCTGTCAGTTCCACTGAGAAACGTATCTTGGATCACTTTATCATAGTTTTTCGGTACCCATGGGTGTTCGAGAAAGGCAAAAAGTTAGGGTGGATAAAACTGGCTCTGTCACTTGAGATAGGATGAAATATTAGTTACTGTACTATAAAGGACCATCCACATTAGATCCGTTTGCGTAGCGTTGACGTAAATTTGACAGTTAGACAATAGATTTAGCTATCACGCAATGCGTCCGATCCGGATCTAATGTGCGTGGGCCTTAATAGATGCAATTTGCGTTGGCCTTAAGTAGGTCGATGAGAGTTTACATAACAGTTTGTCATCGCATTACATCAAATTCACATTAAACTATAATACCCAGTTTAGCTACCCCTTTCAAAAATTAGCATATATTTTCCATTTTTATACACTGGCATCATGTTCCCATTATGAAACATCATTTCACACATTACCTATGAGTAAGATTTGCTAACAATCGAACGATACGAGTATCCACTGGTCATATGTCTGTCACTCTCCAAATCTCAATGCCATATCGATTATCACCTTAGTTTCTATTTGGTTTCCAAACATCATCGTGTGTCGTGTGTACTTTTTTCAATTATCTATAAATCAATAGAATACAAAAAAAAATCGTATATTAGTTTTGCAATCATTGCAAACATTTCAACTATAATTACCACGTAGCACTGACCGTTTGCTGATTTGATGCAACGTATCCGATGTTGAATCTCGCGGAATCGGCACCTTTTGCCCGGTAATCCATGGATCGAACCGCTTCAGCTTACCAACGAAATCATTGTATGATGGACTCTCGACTGGATTAACAGGAGTACGGTCATGGAACTTGTCGGCAAAGCTATGTTCAGAACTTATTACAGACCGGCGGAAGATTTGATGTAGGGCATCCGTGGCTGGATCTGCAGGGATTGGCACTTTTTTACCTGTGACCCATGAATCAAATCGCGTTAGTTCGTTCTTGTAATCATTGAAAGCTTTATTTGGGGGAGCAATTGGAGCTCTATCATTGAATCCAGTTAATTCTCCCGGCAACTGCCTGACTTCTATTCGCGACGAAGGTAACGCTTGGATGCCATATTGTCCGAGATCTTGATGCAAAGCATCGGTTGTTGGATCCGATGGTATTGGGACTTTATGTCCCGTTACCCAAGAATCAAACCTAGTTAATTTGTTAACGTAATCTTTGTAAGCTTTATTGTTGGCAACAGTTTTCGGTGTTGGATCTTTAAATTCATCATCAGGAAGTACCTCTTCCGGGCCCCTAACGTGGGTGTGGCCCGTCGCCCAATCATCAAATCGTGTCAATACTTTGACATATTCCTTAAATTGCTGGTTGTTTGGGTCCACTTCCGGCTTTTTGTCATCAAATGCTCCGTTAGGGTACTGTTGCGCTAGGTATTGTAACATCGGTGAATTGTTATATATTTGTCCTTGTCCAAGAACACATAGCGGAGATATCATGCAAATGAAGAGAATTAACTGTAGCGAATAAAACACGTTAATATTGCGTAATTAAGCATAGCCATTCTAATGATAAGAGATTTGTTTTGCATTGTGCTCAGTAACCGCCGAATATTTCTATTAGAATGTATAAGATAGAGCCGTTTACAATGAGTCACTCTAAGTTTATAAATATTTTGAAATATGAGGGGAACAATGCGCATTTCGAAATGTATTAGTCTCCTGAGCTAACCATAATTGCTCTGATTTTTTTGATGCAGCATCATAACAAGTTATTCGGATTCTATCAAGCATCCAATTTGCATACGAGATTATCAAAACAACTTCGGTTTAATGCAATAGTACCTTCCCATTTTGGGCAACACGTGATTTTTGTTTTCTCTGCTTTCTATAAAATTCATCTAAACTGCAAAAATAAATTTGTGATTATACCATTCTTTAGGGATCAACGATGCGATGCCGTGTTGCCAAAAAACAGGAAGGCACTGTATATATCAAGCTTCACTCAGAAGTTGGGGCGCTATAATATTCTTGAAATTGGTATTGGCAAAACTCGATCGAAGTGATAATCATGCAAATATATCAGCGACAAAATACGACATGTTTCCCACATTGGTTTCACTTTCAGCATTATTTCTACAACCTAATCAAATATCCAATAAACCGTGTCAATGTTCAATTGACACCTAATCATGAGTATTTGCGGAAACCAGTTACTTACTTTCACAAATAAATCCATCGTGGAGATGTGAATTTTCCGTTCAACAGTCACTCAGTGCAAATACCGGAGCTTTTTAACACTTCTGCTCCATAACACATCGACACGTTTCGTATGAACTTTCGGGTACGACGGATGGCAGCAGACTGAACATCATCCAAGAATCGGTAATAAATTTTAAACACATTTGCAGCCGAGGGTCGAGCAGGATTTCATCACACAAATCGATATATGTAGCACTCAAACACCGGAGGCTTGTTATCGAAATTATGCGAATAGAGTTGCGAATTTCAATAACTTGATTCCGGAGACGAGCCAGCCAACGGCTGAAAGTCTCCTTAATAAAGATATATATAAAAAAAATAATAACTTGTTTATGCTTGTGCTTAGGACATTGGTATAGTCTCAGAATAAAATGGCGTTCGGTAGCATCTTATATTGGTGATTCTGAATGAAATTTTCTATATATTTCTCGTTTTACCCTTCTTACAGAGAAGGGTATACATATTAGGGTGGTTCAAAATATCGGTTTTGCTCCACCAAGGTCAATCGATTTCAAAACAGGTCCTGATAATTCTTTCAAAATTTGAGCTCATTTGGATGCGATCTTAAACTGCATTGGCCCTTTGAAGTTGATATGGGAATTACTATGGGAAAGTGAACTTTTTGTGCTGTTCGTTCTAGCCCCTCGCTGTAATGATCTCTGGAAAAGTTTGCCATATGTTCTTATGTGATGCTTTTCCGAGATGCTCCATCAACTTCTCAGCAGCCAACATTGTCGTGATTGCGCCGATAAATAGGGCAAACAATCATGGCTACTATGTCATAAGTGCAAGATGCAGTGCTGCCCTGAAAGCAGTCGGTAATCATATCAGAAAGATATCGGCTTCGAAATCAATTATTAACTAATAACCTTGAAGTCTAATCGAAACGTGGTCATAAGCAAAGTTGTAGCTGATTAAATTTTACATAAGAACAGATAGCAAGCTTTTTTCGTAAATTATTATAGCGAAGTGCAAGGACGGTTTACTTTTCCCATAGTAATTCTCATATAAATTTCGAAGGGCCAGTGCAGTATGAGTTCGCATCCAAATGAGCTCAAATCTTGCGAGAATTATCAGGACCTGATTTGAAATCAATTGAGCTTGGTGGAGCAAAATATGAACCACCCTAATACATATCGCTTGAAAAACTGACTTTTCATCCGAGGCGTGTTTCTCAGCCACCATTGTACCGAATTGGACGCAACAACCACCAAATGAAAGGTCTTGTAGTCCCATTGAGCGCTATTGAATATTTTTCAAATCAGTTTACTGGTTCCGGAGATATGCCCGGAATAAGTTGTGGTGAGTATGGGTCTTAAGACTAGAAGGGATCTGAATTGTATTTTTTTTCAATCCTGCTAAAGCCTTGATGTCCCCTGTTGTCCGATACACACGTTGCCAGCCTTGTAGTCTGCGGAGGGTCCACAGCTCGCAGGATCTTAATGGTGTCAATCCCATCATACGACACATCAAATTAAATCAGTATTCAAAAACAAGATCAATGATAGCCTATGGCCACATTGATCACAGTCGGCCACGATCCGCGTATTCCCGAAGACGTGGCCAGTTTCTGGCTTGGACTAAAACCCATCCTGCGACATATCAAAGTACATCAAAACTCAGAAGTATGTACCACGACCACATTGGTCGCATTTGGTCATGTTCCGGGTACCCCCAGCTAATTTCAAGCAGCTTAAAAAAACTTTTTTTGTATCTCTTGAAATGACCGACTTAGTGCTTCACTTAGGGTATCTCTAAAAAAAGTGTTTTTACTCATTTTTTTATTTGAAATGCCTTAGCAAAGTTGTCCTGAGAAAACTTTTAGAACATCTGAAGACATAACTTTTGCCATGCAGAACTCGTCGATATATTTTGTTGATAAAGAGTTAAGGGCCACCCGAGGGGCCACCCACATTAGACCCGTTTGCGTTGTTTTGACGTAAATTTGACAGTTAGACAATAGATTTAGCGTTCAATTTGCCGCAACGCGTCCGATCAGGATCTAATGTGCGTGGGCCGTTATTCACATTTTTCTTTTGTAAATCTCGCGTAACACGAAAAAGGGCCTATCGTTGTTGATCGATTCTCTTCATCGGTTTTCTCTTTAGCGAATAACGCGACTTGAACTGCATTTTCCATCGACAATAGCGAGAAATTAGTTTATGTTGCCGTGGTAAAGCAAAGAGAAAGTCGACGAAGAGAATCGATCATCGAGGATAGGCCCTTTTCTCAAGTTACGCGAGAAATATGCCTTTTTTAAATGTTAATATCTCTTGTTGGGGCAAACATAAAACATATCACAGCATTTGAAAGAACGCATCTTAAAATATTATTTTTTAAATTGCATTAAAATGAATTTGACAATGATCATTTTTGTTTAAATATAGGGTAGAAAACTACTTCGGTCTAATCGCCCATTTTGAGCCTATCGAGCAGAAAACTTCAAATAAATCCATGATTTCAGAGTTAACAAGTCAATTATGCGTTTGGTACGATACGAAGTCAATGAGAACGCGTGATATGAAGGTTTGCACCAATTATTCCCAAAAACAAAAGAAGCGCTCCGACCGAATCAATTTTTATCTTCATTCGATAGGCCGAAGTGAATTCATTGGCGTTTCAATGGCGTTCCAATGCGTTAGGCCGAGTTTATAATTTGTAGGCCGAGTTTGGCGTCAATAAGCAGTTTTAAACTTTTGACAATATCTCAACGATTGGTTTCTCTTTATCAAATCTTACGGTACGTACGGAAAGGTTAATACATTTGGAAGCCATCAGTAATAATAACATTCCGTTTGGTGCTAAACTGCACTAGATTAAGAAAGACTAAGTGCGGGTTGTGCTTAATAGGCCGGAAATGGGGTAGTTAACCCTAGTTGGGTATAACTTCTATATAAAATAAAATGCAGATGATGTTTCTACATGCGTTTAATTAAAAAAGTTAGTGCTGAAAAACTAAATTATTCAGAAACACCCTAATTTAATTAATAAAAATTACTATAAATTGAGAACGATAAGAGAAAAATAAATGCTTCTTGAGCAAAGTTGCTTGACATTAATCCAGCATCAAGTTTGCGAAAGATTATATCCCTTAATTTTAGAAAATAAAAAAGTTAGTTTTTGAATATCAATTATTTTTAGGGCCACCCTAATGTTGACCAGTACCAAAAGAAGGGTCTTATTAAGGGAAGAAATACAAGTAACACGTCAAAAACTCGACGATTTTCGGATTTTTTTTTGTAAGCAAATGAAACAACGCAAACGTTTGGGGTTTTTTGCATTAAATTGCATAAATCTTCCATTTTATCATTGGTGTGTGACCTCTGTGGCTCCTTGGGGTCACATCGGAAGGAGCTCGCCTCCGGTGGGGATTGGACAAAACTTACTTTTATCAATTGAACCTTATTCAGAAAAGATTTTTGTTCTACGTGAACGTCTAAAACCAAAAAAAAAAACGGTTTAAAAATTTCGAAAAAAAATATCTGAAAAAAAAGTTGATTTTCACTGTTTTTTTTTCCACTTTAGGCAGACCTGAAAATTATTTATTTTTAATTTTATTGATATGGTTCACATAGAGTAAGAATCTATTTCCTTTAAGATGCGCCATTTCATTTGGATGAGAACTTTTTGAGTTATCTTTCCCGCCAATTTGGACAACACCGTGTCGAAAAAACGCGTTTAAAGTTTTGGGTTGTGTAAAAACATGATTTCTGGACCTTACGGTTAATCGGTAATACCGGGGCCATAGATCACTCCTTCCTCGTGCTCGTAGCATTTAAAAAAAAAATTAAAGTAAAGTATAAAAAATCGATAAAAAAAATTTACTTGTAGTAAGCATGTATGCATGGGCGAGCTACCAGTTATGCCAAATCGACGATCAAATGCATTGTTTACAAAAGCTGATACGTCCCTCCGAAAAAGTAATTGAGAAATATTAATAACAGGGAGTTGGCAATTCCACTCTTCCAAATCGCTTCAATCAAGTGCCCTGATGATCCCATCCCTACCCAATGAATTTATATGTTTATATGAAAATATGTGGATATGATGACTTCCGTCCTACTAAGCACAACCCACGCTTTACCTCTTTTTTTTTGAACGAGTTATATTAATAAATTAAATGTTTATATATGTTGATCCCTAATTCGTCCTACGAGTTTCAATTCCGTCCAAACTATAGATACTATAGATTCCATAGATAAGCGGAGGCACAAAAAGTTGTTTTGGCAACCATGAAAAATAAATGATCTTACTGGCATCCGTGAAAAAAGTTCATGACATCATAGAGATCTTCGTTGTGCAGTTTTGGTTTGTTTCGTGCGTAAAAGTTCAAAATGAAGTGCAAAGCAGATCTTTGCAACAATGTATCGAGGAATGGTTTGCTTTATCTTTCCTTCTTCCGTTGTCCGCGAAATAAATCGGAATGTGAAGTGTGGAATGCGTTTTGTGCTCATTATATTACAATACTTCTCCCTCAAACAACACCATAATGACGTCATGTTCGTTTTTCTACACTAGCTGACAGTTCGTTTGGCTACATTCTACTTTGTCTCCGCTAATCTATGGTATCTATAGTATCTATAGTCCAAACGCATTGAAATACCATTAGATTTTCTTCGTCCTACGGATGAAGGTAGAAAAAGTGGGTCCGCTAAGTGCGTCTTCTCTTGTTTTAAGAACCATGAGTATAAATATTCATACAATGCGTTCTAATAGGCTTTGTGTTGTAGCTTATGAACTTACGCATCCATACAAACGTATTAATGATTTGTGAACGGTGAAATCATTGATATTAAAGAGCCTGAATTTATAAATTGGAACAATCGATTATCTGTCAAAGTCATAGGAAAAGTTATTCCAATCGAGCAGGAGACCTGTCAAATAGATAAAGTGACGCCTCTTTACCCAATTCAGTCTCTTTAATTGATATTACTGATGTTTTCTGCTTGATAGAACGGAAATGGACGATTACGACGAAATAGCGCTCTACCCTATAAGAATATAATATCCAGTATTTTACGATCGTTTATGGCCGCCACAATCTGGCTGAGTTTGTGGTACACGGTTAGAAAAAAGTACCCAAAATTAAGTTCTTTTCACTC